GTTGTTCCACACTAACTTCTGTTTGACCTGTGGCTTCCTTGTTCTGCTGGGTTACAACAACTGATTTCTGTTCCTCTAGGAATGATAGCTGGGACAGCTCTGTTAAACTGAACATTAACTTGCTACAGCATTTCCTACCCCTGATGTCATCAGTACTAAAGTTTCTGTGCTTAGTGCCCTCACTTGTATGGTATAGTTTCCTTTGTTTTTGTTTTATACTAAAATACTAATTTTCAGAGGAAACAGCTTCTGTGGCCATAGGTGAAGAACGTGGCTTGTATTAGCAATTTTTCTTTTGCACTATACCAAATAGTGACAGAGTTCTAAAGTGCTGGGATTAGTGAGGTTCAGCTGTACTTCCCTTTCAAATGCATAGATGTTTGGAATTGCATCCGAAGCAAATACATTAGAAACCCTCCATCCTAGAACTGGTAGCAGAGCAAAAGCACTGAGTCACTAAAGACTCTGCATGCTTCAGGAACACAAATGTCTTGGATCTCTAGTTTTACTGTCTCCTAAATTAAGCTTAAGACTTTTCATGTAACTTGATGTGAAAGATGGTTGCACTCAGAACTTCAGCAGAGCAGAAAATACACTCACTTTTTAACAAACACTCATTACTGTAATTTTTTAAATGTCACTGGAGTTGTTCATACAGCTTTCAGTATAGACAAGGAGAGCAGTATCTGTATATGTAACAGTCCATTTGAAGTGAGGCAGTTTGTCATGCAATTATGCTTTTTATTTTGTATTCTGTACACATGGCCTTACACAGCCAAGGAAATGAGGTGTAAAAATACAATTGCATGTGACCAGAATGAAAAGGGATGGAAGTACTCTGCACTATAAGCGTAACAACCTTAGGTTAAACATTGTTGGCAGTGTTGTGGAAACTGATCATATCAAGTCTAACTCCATGTTCTCTAAGCATGCAGGGCTTCAGGTCAAGTCACTGGACAGACTCTGCTAATGCTAATTGTCAAGCATGACATGCATAAGTAACACAGAGCTGGGGGCTCATCTGCAACAGCCCTTACTTCACTTAAAAATAGCTCATTAATAATGCTTATTAATGTGAAATATTTCAGGGTACACTTTCTAAATATTAATGTAAATTCCACACAAGGAGAGCATGTATTGAATACAATCATTAAGGGAAGGCTTTATGCTGTTGCTAATCACAGTTATAATGTCAACAGAAGTACAGTGAAACTATGGGTTTCACATTGGAGCCATTTAAGTCACTAAGTAGCAGCTTGATAGGTGTTAGGGTTGAAATGGTTTGCTAGGCAATAACTTAAGTAATCACCTATACTTAAGTCCTATTGACTTAGCATTTAGATGGAACATGAAGTATATCTGCAAAAGCTAGAGAAGTGGTGCTTGATGAAGAGTGTTTATGTATCTGATAGCACATTGTATGGGCTTTTAGCCCTTCTGAGCCAAACAAGGCTGATATTATTAATATTTCTTCTCTCCATCTTTCTCCTTGTTCCTAAGCATGAGAGAAGATTGGTGCAAGTTCAGGCACGAGAGCATTTACTTGTTTCTCATTGCTGAGTAGACTTTGAACTTCTACTCCAGCATGCTTAGAACTTACTAAACATTACACTGTCTGTCACATGAATACTCTGTAAAAGAGAAATGCTAGCCAACATCCTCAAATTAAGATATTTCTTATACAGCTTGCATACATGAATCTGAAGTTTTGCACTGGTGAGTGTGTTTAAAATGCCTCACTTTTAAGGGCATAGGTAAGAGCTTTACTTTTGCTCTTGGACTTCTATCTTTTGTACTATTCTTACTAGCTGGGGGAGGTGGGACAAAGACATTGCACACAGTGACAGCCATCTGGGTCAAAGGGAAGGTGGTTGTTGTCTGATTCCTGTCCCTGGCTAATAGTGTCTGCTTAGGGGAAGACTATCAGACATGGCATATGAGGGCAGATCTGTCCTTGGTCTCTGGGAGGATTAACACTACAGTTCTCCCAGGGTGGTTCAGTTGTGCTCTATTTCTGGACATTGTAGGGGAAATTTGAATGAAGACTCATGTTTCTTATTTAAATTGGAGAAAACATAGTGTGTTTTCCCCTACTTTGTAAACAATTTACCTTGGAGCCCAGCCACGTGCATTCCTTCTCTCTTCCTGTATGAGTGCTGGGGTTTCTCAGTTGCCTGTGGAAGTGTGTTAAGTGTGGATTTTTTTTAAGCTCACTTAACAAATATAAAGTATTCCTTTACTGCCTTCAGGCCTGATGTCCTTCTGTGACACAGGGGAGGGCAAAGTGTGAATGATGGTGGAGCAAGAGGAGTCTTAGGAAAAGAGTCAGTGGACCTGCTGCAACTGGAGCCAGCCATGTGGGCTCTGCAACTTGAGTTCAAGCAGCTGCTTCAGAAACTCTCACAAGTCTGTTGCTCCAAAGCTCCCCAGGATGTAGGAATGATGGCTGCAGGGGTGGCTGTCCCTTGAGGCATGGTTATGTCTCAAGTAGGGGCCAGGGAACTAGATCCCTGGGGTTGGGAAGGCTGAGGACCCAGTGGGAATGGTGCTAATGTTCTGTATGAAGCCAATAGAGTGGCTGAGAAAACAGGGCCTTGGCCTCATGTCCCCAGCTTCCCTTGCTAAGTGCTAAGCACTTAGCTTTGCAGCAGTATTTAATAATAAATTAAAAAAAAAACCACAAACACAAAAACAAAACAAACAAACAAAAACAAAACAACAACAACAACAAAAAAACCAAACAAAAAAAACCCAACCCTCACCACAAGAAAACTAAACAAGCCCCAAACAACCTCCACACTCATTTGAGTGATGGCCTTACGGTCTCTGGTAAAAACACCTGGTCTATGCTAATCTAGTTTTATTTCTCCATCATATCCCTATGATAGAACCATGGTACTGTGGACTGAAAGCAGTTCTCATTAAAAGGACATGGTGAGATTTGAAGTGATAGTGATGGATAAATGTGGAAAGGTCAGGGCAGCAGGAGTGAAACTGCTCTGTATTTGCTTGCTGGTAACTGAGAATTCACAGCTTTAGCTCCTGCTAAGTGCTGATGACAGAATGAATTACATAATGAAAAATAAATTTAAAATGCAGAAGAAAATTGTTCATGCAGGGCCAGATGCTGAGCTGAAATAAATTCACTTGCTTCAGTGTCTGCTGAGCTTATCGAACAGTGCCAGTTCCCTTCTGCAAAAGATGAGGGGAAGTATAAATGAAATTCAGGGGAAAGGATTGGATCTCTTCAGTTGTATATCCACATATGAGTTGTGGTCTAAAGCTTTTGAGTGTTGTCATCTGAGGCAGGTTGTAAGGGTTTTATTGCTCTGTCTTTGGAAGTACCTCCTGAAAAGCTATTGGAGACAGCCTTGCCTCAGGGATTGTTGGCTATGTGGTTTTTATAACTGCCTGCTGAATTAACATGCCATTAAAATAAATGGCTCCTGGAAACCTAAAGAGGTGAAGATAAAGATCCCCCCACATTACAGAGTGCATGTAAATATTTGTAAGTATGTTTTTTTCATTTGCAGTGTTGATGTCTGGTTACTTTATAGGAGCAGGAATAAATCAAGCTAGTGATGAAGTTTTTAAATTTTAATTTATTAAAATTGAAGTAGGTTGTGTGTTCTAGCAACTGAGCATTCTTGGTAAAGAATTTGGTCTGGCCATTATGAGCTCTTGAAATATAAACCCACTTTTTTAAGCAGCTTTAATTTGATCTACCATAAAGAGGCAAATGTTCCTTTAAAACAGATGTGCGTAGAACCTTTGCCTGTTTTTCTGGATGTAGGTGCCTACTATTAGTAGAATAATAGTGTTTTAAAACTAAAGCCCAGTGATTTTGGTTGCTATGTGCAGCAGAGAGGTTTGATTGTCAGAGAATGGATGTCAAATCCTTTCAAAATTGCTCAAGATGGGCACATGGAAACTGAGCCACATGCAATCAAGTTAAAACCTGAGTGATATGCTTCAGGATGCATATTTACTCAAGGCTTGCTGCTAGCTGAGGAAATAGCACAATGATATGCCTGTGTACATGATACACTACCAATGGTAAGAAATTATTCTATTTTCCTTTTTTTTTTTAATGTAGATAGGATCTAATAATTACTTTCCACTGCAAAGCAATGTGGTGACTTAGTGACAGCTACTGTTTAACTTGGGTTTCTGCTCTGTTAACAAGATGGTACAGGCCTGTCTCAAAGTGATTTGGAATAAATCAATCTGATTACTTTTAATATAAATGTATTTGGGAATGTTAACTGCACTCTTGATAATTGCTGATTCTGGAAAATGGGCAGGTTTTTTGGATGTAAAATGACAGAAAATGGTTGATGTCTCACCCACTGTTTAATATATTAGCTCCATAACTTGTTTAGTATGAGATGAAAACATGATTGTCCTAATGAAAACCTTTGTAAAGTGTGTTATGATCCTGAGTTGTGTTTCAGGAAAAAAGGGATCCGGAACAGTCCAAATTCCTTTCCTCCTTACTGAGCTTAAAGCAAGAAATAAAACTGGAAGTCCCGACATTTCAAACGGTAGCACCGTCTCAGCCCTCAGCCGACGGTTGCTGTTGGTCTGGGGTTTCCCACCAAAATATTTTTAGTATGTGGTGTAATCTAATAAAAGTTTTAAAAGCTTTTCATTTCCTGGGGAGAATATAATTCATTGCTGTCAGAGAAGATGTAAATAGGACAACACAATGTCAAACAGAGCTTCTGTCCAAATGCTGCCATGACTTTGTCTTCAGGCCAAGATCCATCCCATAGGCGATGGGGTGCATGGTGCTCACCTGCCTGCCTGTGGGTTTTATCAGGAGAGAAGAGTGGCTGGCTTGTGGGCACATACCCAAGTTACTGTGGCTCTTGCTACCTGCCAGAGATGGACACCAAATGCAGCAGGGGCTGCCCTGACTCAATTGCATCCTCCTGAATGCTTTTTCTCCCATTTGGGGAAGCCTGCCCTGCAGCTGCTGGCCTTACAGGGACCCCAAGTCACCTCCGGAAGTTTTGACCCAGCAAGATGTAGATGAAGGGATTCAGACAACTGTTGGCATAACCCAGGCTGATAGCCACATTGTAAGCATAGTAGAAAGGCAGGGTGGGGCGAGTCATGGCGAGCTGGGCCAGTTGCAGGATGTAGAATGGTGCCCAGCAAATGAAGAAGGCCATGCAAATAGCAATTGCTGTATGGGTCAGTCTCTCGGTTCGAGCCCTGGTACATCTTTGGCTCATTAGTGCTTCTGAGGACCTGGCCATCTTGAGCAGGATCCTCCTGTAAGCCACCGTGATGAGGACAAAAGGGATGGCAAAGACCAGGAAGAACTGGTAGAGAGTGTACCAATAAATGTCTTTCTGGGGGGCTGGCAGACGAATCCCACAGCCTAGCAGACCTCCGGGCAAAGGGATGAGCTGAGCATACATCCACACAGGTGTAATGCTGAGGAAGGAAAGGGCCCAGAGTATGCAGGTGACAAGGATTGCCACAGGGGGCTTCCTGAAGCGGGTGGAGGTGAAGGGGTAGACGGTGGCCAAGTAGCGGTCGATGGACATAGCAGTGAGGATGTAGGTGCTGGTGAACTGGCTGTTGGCATCCAGGGCAGTGATGATTGTGCACATTGTCTCCCCAAAGTGCCAGGCTCTGTTCCCCAGCAGCTGGTGGATGAGGAAGGGCATGCCCAGGAGGAAGAGCAGGTCCACCATGGAGAGGCTGATGATGAAGATATCTGGGACACTACTGCTAGAGCCAGATTTCTTTAAGACTGTACAGATAACCAGGCTGTTACCAATAATGCCCAACAGGCAGATAATGCCAAACAGGGTGGGCATGATGAAGCTGCCATAGCTCATCCTGCTGGGATCACCTGCAGAGACAAGTGTAGGCAGGAAAAAGTCAGCTGTGCCAGGACCACTGGTGAGGACATGCCATGTAGATATTCTAACAGACAATGAGTTCTCCAAATGCAAACAATAATGTATTTCTTAGGTACATGTAAGATGAAGTACTCTGTGTGGGTGGTTGTGTCTAACTGTGCACAGGCACTTTCTCAGCAGTCTTCACAAATGTATACGTTAGAACATGTGTCTCTTATCACATGTGCACGCAACTACTCTTCCCTTCATACATATGAATACACATATTAACAATAGAATGAAAGAGTATCGGTGTGTATATCATTCCATATGTGTGCATTTAGACACTTTCAAATGCATACATATATAAACAATATGTTTCAATACATATTCATATCTGTGATGGGTGTTGCTTAACTGTAAGGGTAATATCTATATTCAGGCTTTCTTCAAAACCATTTCATGGAAGTGATTTGTTTTCTTCCTATTTCTTCTACCTATTATAATTTATATACTAATGTATATTTTCACTTACCAGGCAGAGAAAAGTTTTGAACAGCCTTAGAGCTGTTGGAGATGCAGCTGTTTGAGCTCTCAGTGTGATTTGTTTTAAAATCCATCCTTCAGGAAAAATTGGTCCCCATCAGCAGCTTGAAGATGTTAGTGTTTTACGTTGAAAGAATAAAGGTTGCCGATTCCTTGGAGATCTGTGGGGCTGCTTGGAAAGCCACTGCTCTAAGCACCAGCAGAGGCTGTTAATGCGGGTTAAAAAGCAGCTCCTCTGCTCCCTGCACCACCACCAGGCAAAAGTGATGCTAGAAAGTATTGAGGCAGTACCTGTCGCCAAGCTGGCAGCAGACTGATGGAAATACACTTGCAGGGAGAGCAGAATTTTGTTTTAGTGCAAAAGGCAGTGATCAGGATCCACTGACAGACTAAACAATGGACTTGGGCTCTGAAGAGGTAAATGGGGCCTGGAAGTAAATAAAATCCTCCGACTAAAATGATGCGTAGCCAGCACCGAGAGCACACCGCTTTTAGGGTCTAGCTGAGTATAAATTTCTCAATATAATTCTGAAAAGAACTATGTTAACCTAAAGTCAAGTTTGCAGCAAGATTTCAAGTATCAATTGAGGTTAATTTCTTTAGATTCTGACACAAGATCATCCTAAAAATGAAAAGGTACAAGCTGTGTGAGTAAGTATGCAGAAAGCTAGTATTTTCTGGCTGTACCTGCTAAGTTGCAGCACAGATGATGAACAGCATAATTATTTCCCTCCTGTGATGTGCTTTCTCCATTTCAATTCATTTTGAGGTCTTAAGCACAGTAACAGTTATATATGTTTCATTTTAGGCAGACTGATAGGAGAATAGGAGATAAACAAGGGATTTATTTTCAAGGTGTATTTGAAATGATAGCAGTTTGGCATGTAAAAAAGGCAAACCACTGGAAGTATTAAATAAATGAGGTGGTGGATTGTGTTATAAACAAGCCAAACTAATCTCTGCCTTATTTCCCTCATAACCAGTAGCCTGCTTTTAGCAGGCAGTAAATGCCTCCTAGATTGAAGGCATCACTGCCTAGAAAAAGTAAGATTTGGAAAGTAAGATTAGACTCAAACCGTACCCTGATAATGGGGGCCAGTAGTCTGGTGAAAGACAGTAAGGATTCTGTAATGACTAGAATGCTGTTTCAAGGCTCACTCTGTGCTAGTTGTAAGGATTTCTAGTGCTTAGAAATAGTTCTTATTTCAGTACCTCACAGCTCTTAAAAGCAGGCACCAGTCCATTTGCACAAGGGGTAACGTATTCCATTTACTAGCCAGTGCAAAACTTCTCCTTCACCTCCACGCCCCCAATATACTCCCTTGTTGGAGTCTCTTCATCTGCAAACACCAGTATCTGTCAGGTTTTTTGCAGTCCAATGTATTACCTACAGCTGTGATGTACATCCCTGTCCAGCACCACAGTTAAGAACAGCATTCTCTTTCCCACCCTGATCCTCACCAGCTGTAAACTGGCAGAGGTCTACGGTAATTGACAGCAGCTGCAGATTTGATCCTAAAGTGGATACCAGCAATGTAAAAAGCTGTGTACACACCGTCATGTTAAAACTTTATTCCATATGGATTTCTTTAGGCTACATGTCATGTAAACAGTATCACAGCACTAGCTCTTCTTACAAGGACAGTAGAGAAAGTACTTATTTTCCTGGGGTTTTTTGTTGGATTTTTTTTTTCCTCCTTCCTACCACTTGTATACTACTATCACCTGGAAGTTTAAAAAAAAAAAATTAAAATTCTGATTGGGATAAAGCTTTGAAGTACTTGGAAAAAACAAACATTTTATCTACTTAGTAGCTTATGAAATAAATCTGTTATGGTCTCTATTCTGTAAATGCTTCACATTTACCTGGAATTTATAAGCACTAGAGTCTTTTACAAACCAGCATCTGTGGAAGACTTATCTCTCACAGACAGTAATAATCTACTGCTGAAGTGTGGGGCCAGTTTATCATTACAGCTGAAAACGTTACCACCAATACTAGGTGGAACACATTACGGCACAGATAAACTTTGACCCCATGTTAGAGTAAACAGCATATTGATTCATGCAAAGCCGGAATATTATACTAGTTTAGTTCTTGGGATTCTGCATTTCCTTTGCAGGCACGAGAAGGGGAGTAATCTGCAGTCTGCCACTCACCAATATTGGCCATAAAAAATACTTTAATATAAGCAAGGAGAAAAATTCAGCTCTAAATGTAGTCTTCCTAGAAGTAGATCTGAAAAAGTGTTTTTTACTGCAGAATTAGCAGAATAACAAGACAACCTGGCTAAACAAACAGCACTTTATTAAACTAATATAGTTACTTTCTTAATGCTTCAAAATATTACAGCATTTGCAAAAATGAAAAAAGTTTAAATAACATATAAGAAGTTACAACTGAGAAGCAAAACAGGCAATTTAAATACCTAAACATATATGACAAAACTCAAGACCTAACTGCATACCATTGTTGTGATGAGGCAATGAGAACAAGGAAAATATACCCTCAGAATAATGTAACATCTAAAGATATATAAAAATTTGTACCATGACTTAATGTATGACAAACCCCAATTTTCCTTGTATAATAAATATAAACCATTAGCATGGTGTGCTTATACTATTTTAACAAAGGCTGTTAAGGCTTAAAAATATTTTTTAACATTCAAAACATTTTTGGTGTTCTGAGCTTTGACCCTTATGTATCAAAATGAACAAATGCTGCATAAAAATTTCAAGAGATAGTACAAAACTCCAGTAACAAATGGGAAGTCAAATACCTACCTACCCACCCTTTCTTTCACCTAATTGTCACAGACTTAATAGTAGCAGTTATTATTACATCCCTTTACCAAATTCTGTGGAACATTCCGTTATGCACATAGACTTAATATCGAAATGCACTGCTGCTTAATGGTTGTTCTTAATATTAGTTTTACAGTGACCATGTACGATGCATATTGACTTCTTCAGTTCTCATAAGGAGTGCACAAAGATTAAATACTCAACAAGTAAACAATTACATTGTAAAGGTCAGAGTAGTACAGTTAAGTGCTTATGAAGCAAGTGGGGAGAAACCCACTTGTTCATTCTTTCCATTATTTGCAGAAAGATCCGGGACAAGAGGACTCTTCTGTGTCAAACTTCCATTACCTTCTTGCTGCCTTAGATGACCCCTGCATACAGGAGAAAAGAATGGATTTACAATCTGTTCTTCCAGAAGATTATTGTCTTTAACTTTTTGTTCAAAAAAGCTAAGCAATGCGAGATGTAAACCTGTCTGAGACTCCTGGAACATCCACTGTTGGTCTGCCAGAGCTTCTCTCAAAAGATACAAGATAAAAAGAGCAGATATTATCTGTTTTAACATCAAAGCTGTAAGTCACTATGACTGGTCCGTAGGTTGGGCTGTGTACTCGGCTATCCTGTGGAAAAAAAATAAGTCTTTCCTGGAGTTGATAGGCAGTGTTATGGAGCTGGCAGTATGCCCTGGAGGAATGTTACAGAGCCCTGGAACAAATGCAAGCACATTGGGCCTTGTACCATGGTCTTGTCATCCTGATGATATCACAGGCTCCATAGACAGTTTGGTGTGTCCTTGAGAGCTGTGCATGAAGCATAGCTGTGATGAAAGGGCAAACTGAGAAAAGTCTTGGAGGGAGCAGCTGTAATTTTTCTTCTTGCTCTTCCCTATGCTTAAGAAGTGATTATCATTACTCATTCCCTATTAGATATTTAAGCGAGCAACAGGTGGCACTCCAGCACAACCTGGCAGTGCCTCAGCCCAGGCCTGCCTGGCAAAGGCACAGCTCAGGCAGTACTGACTGGAACAGGCCTCCCAGCCTAAAGCACTGGGAGACATGACTGGCAAGCAACACATGCAGCATCCAGCAAAACCTGTAATTTCTATTTTGGGCACACTGTCCCTTTTAAGTACCCCTCTGCCTATCCCAAATCTACAACTAATTTTGATCCATTAACCTACAAATGCAGGTAAGCAGAGACAGATGGGTCATCATGAAGAAAGAACTGCAAAAGGTTCATCCTCTAAGCAAAGTCCAGTTTGGAAGTCTGTTTTAATGATGTTTATAGCAACAAACACTCTGAGTGAGACAAAGTTTATTTTATTGCTTGATGTCATCTTGTGTTAGCACATGCACATTTAAAGACTATTTATATTTCCTCTTTCCTAAATAGGAAAGAGGGCATGTACTGACTCTCATTAAAGTATATATTGATGACAAGACATTTATATGCTGCACATTAAGCCACCAAGGTAGCCAAAGATGCTCTAGCATTCAAGAAACATTCGTTAAGCTAAACAACAATGGCTCACTTAGAATAAATGAAGTATTTAATGCAATAGTACAGTTGCAGAGTTTGAAATCCAAGCACGGATCAAGACATCAATACCTTGAAGCGTACCAGTAGTTGACCAGAGTTGAAAGCACGACATAACAAACACTCAGTACTCCAGAAACTCCCAGTGAAAGTGCACCCAGGCCACACAGCACACACAGGAGGGCTACGCCACCTACAGCTATTACAACACCTAATCAAAGAAAATCAGTTTGTTATTTAAACAAGTTTATATACAAGTAAATTAGAACTGACATTCTACCACAACCCCAATTTCAAACCATTAGGGAAAACAGTCTTCTGCAATCAACTAGCTAGCCTCTATAAAAGCTATGCACGGTTAAGATAACTGGTTTAGGCTTATCGTGGCAGCTGAGATTAGAAAGGGAAATAGTATTTCCCCTGTATAGACTACAATTAATCCTATTACTCTTCTTGTATTAGTTTCACTACTGCTGAGACCTGAGGACTACATACAGAAATACTCAATTGTTTGAACTGGGAACTCCAGAAGAAAGGGGAAAAAAAAAAAAAGGAAAAGACATTATGCCTTAAAAGGGAGTAAGTAAGTACATATATGCATGCATACAATACCTTCGATGACTATCACCCCAATACAGGCCATTATGGCTGTTGTAACAACAAAAATCAGGAAAAATGCAACGGGAATAGCAGACACTGCAATAAACATCAGGAGTGATAAGGCAACAAAAGGATGGTCACCTAAATATTGGCCAACACGAGAATTCATAAATGCAACAACCTGTGGATTAAAGAAAAACATTTCAGATTTTTTTTACCTCTTGCCACAGATAACTTTTAAAGATCACTGCTAATTTAGTGAAGTACAAGTAGCATATTTTTCTAAGTCTACAGCTTGAATAGACAACAGCTGTTAACTGTATTTCAAAAGCATGAGGACTTGCTGCAAATTTAGGTAACTTCACAGCAAAGATACTTCTACCAACAACAGACATATTTTTCTTGGACCTTCCAGCTCCATTCTTGCACAAATTATTCTGTGTTTCTTGATTGCTGAACGTGTGGGAGGACAGCCCTTCCCATAGGCTCCTCAGTGTTCACTTAAAAAAGGGGAGTACCAATTTCCCTCCCCCACAAAAAAAGAGAAGTTTTGAAATTGCATTTAAATAGATTGGGGTGTGATATCCTGGTAGTTATGAAAGGAGTATCTTAATAAATATATCAAATTATAATTCAGACGCACATTTGAGTTGCTGTGGATGGACTGCATCATGGAGTGCCATTGCTTCTGCAGTTCTTGCATTTCTTTAGACATGTTGTAACCTCAGTCACGATTGTGAATCTTCTGAACAACCAGTTTTCACTCAGCCATCCAATTTTCCCTAAAATTAAGCTACAATTAGTAACAGGCTCATATAGATGTTTTTTGAAAATTAAGTATTTCTTTTGCAAAAACAGAGAATGTAGATTTCAGATGTTAATGTGATCCAGAGAGTCTAAAACATTACTTTTACAAAAGTACATGTAATGTAGGGGGCTTGTGTCCCTGAAAGCTCTTCTGAAACACCCAAGATACAAGGTGACTCTCACCTTCTTCCTTTACAGCATTAACCCCGTATTTAACCATGAGGGTATTGAATTACCAGTAAAAAGGTCAATACTAACTATCCGCATGGACAATCTATTGCTACTAGTGCTGGAAACTGATAACACATTAATGAGACTGGCTTTTGTGAGTAGCCTCACGTTCAGAATTTAAACCATACCCTGTACAGCTTTAAAACTCCGCATAGGAAAGCAAAACGCTTTCAAACACTCTGAACGTATTTAACTGTGACCGTTTAAAGGCAACATCAGCTCAAATATCTCCATTCCTCCGCTAATCCATTGCTGCTAGAAGTTTTTTCCTGCTTGTAAATCTAAACAGTCACTGTGTCAATACTACTGTCTTATACTCTGCCTACATACACGCCCCCCCCCCCCTTTGTTTACGGAGTATTTTCATACCGCAGCGTTCACCTTGTTCCCGGCAGCGCGGCCGAGGGACGGACCGAGAGGGGCTCGTGTCGGAGCGAGCCGGCCCGCGAGCCCGCGGCGGTACCTTCACCACGCCGCGGCCCCCACCGGACACTGAAACCCGAGGTCAGGAGCCGGTTAATCACGCCCCGCCAAGCCGCTGTCGCCGTCCCCTGCGGCCGCTGCCCTTAACGCGGGTCCCGCTGCGATCAGGTTCGGATAGGCCGCCCCGCAGCCCCCGGCCGGGCGGAGCGGGGCGGTGCCGCTCCCCGCCCGCCCTCCGCCGAGTCGGGGCCCTCCCTCTCACCTGCGGCTGCTGCCCGCTGGGCCGCACGCCTCTCGGTGGCTCGCCCTCCCGCTGCACCGCCCGGCGCGGCCCGGGCTGGGCCTGCCGGCGCCGAGGGAAGCGCCGCCGCCCTCCCGCCGCTGTCTCCTCCCCGCGGGGGCCGGCGGCGCGGCGAGCAGGGCCGGGCGCCCGGAGAAGGCCGGGGCAGGGCCAGCCGTGGCGTGGCACTGGCACCGCGGGGCAGTGTTTGGCGAGGAAGGGACTGAGGAGGTTTCCACAAACCGCCTAGGGCTTTAGGGGGTTTTATTTATTTCCCTTTTGTGTCCTTTCACCCTCCGGGCCCTGCCGCAGCCGCTCAGGTCTGGGGACCCTCAGAGCGCGTCCCCGGGTTTCGCGTGGCGTTAGGACACACAGCCTTCATTTTTACCGGATTACAGCTGGGAAGTGCGGATCTCTGCGGGAGGGGTAGGCGAGCAGAGGCACGCCCAGCCCCGGGGGACGGGGGCGGTGCCGCCGGGAGGAGCGGCCGGGACCGTGGGGTGCCGCGGGAGCGGCGCCCCGGGGCTCCGAGGGGCTGAGGGACGCGCCGGTACCGCCGCCATCGCCAGCTCCGGGGGTTGCAGCCGCCGGAGCGGGGGCTGCGGAGGCAGCTTGCCGTGAACGGTGGCTGCTCCGGCAGGCCCGCCGTGTCAGGGGGTGGAACGGCAGCCGTGAAACACTCCAGCTGGCACAGCCGCCTTCCTCCTGGCTCTGGTTACTTGTTCCCACACGTTTCCACCCTGTCCTGCTGCCTCCACGAGCATTGGGGTGGCCATGCGGCAAACCTGTTTGTGGAGATGCTCCGCGTGAGGAATAATTGCTTCAAAAATTCTGCAGGGTTTTTGGCAAGGTCGGTGCATCCTGCAGTGTCCCAGCGTTTGGATGGGACTCATCACCTCAGAAATGAAGCGTGGTGAGGTGTGTTGCACAGTGCTTTGGTCTGGCCGTTTTCCAGAGCCACCATGAAGCTGTTACATGCAAGCATGAAACTTCAGTGAATCCCCAGCTTTCGCTACATAGATTTTTTTTTAATGCTGTAAATTACAGGCAGAAAATAGTAAAATATTCATGTTTGTCACGACTGCTTTAGTCACTCTTTTTGATCAGTACCACCCATGAGAGTATTGCAAAACTGAACATTAATGGTTTCATGATTATTTTTCAAAGGCAACCAAATAAATAGCATGTTTAATTTGGAGTGTGCTGGTTTTATAATGCAAAGATAGGTTTTATAAGTATGGGGGTTTTAACCTATCAGACTGTTAGAGCTCTGTGTCTTTAGATGCTGATTTCAATAAGCTCATCCAAGGATCAGTGTAGACAGTGGAAAAAAAAGATAGATTTTCATGTTAATGCAAATTTGGACCATGGGCTCTAAAAGACCAACACAAGATACCTGCAAGAAGAGGATAGTGAGGGCAAGTTTATTCTGCTTGAACTGTTAAATTTTTTATATCTTATATTATTAAAGTGCATACTGTATTGATATTCCTAGTAGACTAGTGTATATAAAATAAAATTTCAAGTTGTTGATTTTGTATAATTTTTTTTAAAGTGGGTATAGGGAAAAACTAACTGGTAGAAGTACAGTGTGACATAATCCAGTGATAATGGCATTATAAAGTTTAATGGCTCCACCAAGTTTTGAAGTATATTGGACATTTTAAATTTCTGGCTGTTTTTGAAATATGGCATAGCTGCAATTTTGGAGATAGTCTTATAGATCTTAGTAAATTATTTTCCTGCTACGGATAATTATTTCTTTTGCTAGAAATTGACATACCATATTTTTCTATAGAAAATAACTTTTGAATGTTTACCAAGCAACACAAGTAATTTATGTAATTAATTTAACTTCAAAAGGCATGCATATGTAAGCATTCAAGTTGTTGTGCACAGTGCAACAGTAGTTACTGTAACTGTTTCTTAATTGAGCCTGTCTTCATGCCAGTGTCAGCTTGAACTAACAGGAGAATACTCATGTTGAAAACCAGCACTGAAATATTCGGAGAGTTACCACACACACTACCCAAGCAATTGCCAGTTCCAGGATTAGCAGGGCAGGTTCTGTGCCCCTCACTGCTGGCTTGTGTTTAAAGAGCAACTTAGTTTATGGTAGGAACTTTCAGGTGTGGCCAAGCAGGAACAATGTTCCACTTGTAGTTGGTATTAGGTCAATGTATAAGGAAAACTCTGCAGTTAACTCAGGGATATCAGCCATTCTCACAGTTTACAGAAAATAGAATAAAAAATAGCATCCAAAGATGTTGGGAAAAAGTTTAAGTTAAAATGGAAGTCTCGCTGTGTTGGCAGAACGTGTGCAAGGTCTCTCTTGAGGGTTGGTATAAGGAGACTGTGCTAGATTTCATGTAAGATGGTAATAATTCCCATTTGTGAAGAAATGCGGAGGACTCTTTCAGGACATGGTGATGACCATGAGTGTGAGTCAAATGCATACAAGCAGACTTAAGAGAATTTGGAGTACAAGTATCCCACCTGCTGTCTTTGGATCTTCAGGGAGTTTGATTCTGAATGATAGAAAAGTGGTGGAGATGTTTGGGGTCAATATTCTGAATCTTTAATTTTTTATTTTTTTTTTTTTATTTCCTCCTAAGGAAATCTGAGTTTATATAGCCTTTATTGCTCTGGGAGCTCCTGTGCAGTGTTTTCATACAAATGGCAGAATCTCTTAGGACTACATTTTTAGTACCTTTCAGAGGTAAAATGAACCTGTATCGTTGCTCATTGATTCCACAGCTGAATCTCCCTGATCACAGCTTGGTGCAACACTGTGCTGAAAGGGGCTGTTTTCTCTCTGCTTAGGGAAAAGAGGGAGGAGGGAATTCTTGTATCCAAGCACCAGCTACGCTGTAACTGGGGCAACAAAGCTGAGGACTGAAAGGCAAGAGTGTCAGAGAAATTCACCAAGCTGGAACAGGCAGAGGGACTGGTAAGAAGAGCGCCTGCAGGTAGTGCCTGCTCTTATGTACCTCCTCAGTTATGCACTCTGGATGTGTAAGGCATGCTGGGCATCTCTCTCTTTTCCCATTCCTTTTGATGTGTGCTTATTTCTCATGGCAATTAATGTGTGTCACTGCCTGCTGTAAACCACAATTAGGGCCCCAGAGACCCTGGGCTGTTAGAAGAGAATGAGCTGTGGGGAGGAAACTGGTTTTGGAGAAAGTGGAAAGATCAGGGTGCTTGAAAGACATCTGGAGAGATAAGGATTAAAGTGAAAAGTGAGCTTGAAGAGGAATGGAGAGACAGACTGTGTAGTTTGGAGGGGAAGAAAGCTTAGTGTTGTAAACAAGGAAGGAGAGAACTGGGATTTTTCTTTTGCCTGGCAGTTGGGATAATATTGTTTTGATATCTTGTGTAGTACCTGAAATGAATCTCTAATTCTTTTCCAGTGCATGTAACAAGGGTACTTATATTGAGGGGGAGGACCAAAAACTTCTAAGCAAACAAAAAAACAAAGCAAAATGAAGCCAACACAGAGCCCGAGGCTCCTGAGTGTAAGTTCTTTCTGCAGTGACTGTGAAAGATTGATAACTTTTTCAAAACTTTAGATGAAATTGGCCATTACTGGTGGGTAGTGGTTTAACACTGCAAGAACTCTTGCTTGAAGACAATTGTTCTTGTTGAATATTCCTTGGACGTAAGCCTTTATAATATACTTCTTACTAAGAATTCCTGTGCTCAGTTATTTGACTTTGTAAAAGGTTAGGTGGCATATAAATCAAGAGTTGCTTTAGGATGAACAATGGCTTTCTTAATAACTTGCACCTTTAAGACTGAACAAATCTCCTAATAAACCACATGGTTTATTAATTTTCCAAGTACCCTAAGGCCCAATCCTTTAGTCATTAATCAAGAGCAATTGATGCTGTCTTTGGCGAAATACGCCTGGCCGTGATAATGTCTTGATTTCGGTGTGTCTGTATGCAGGCACGTTGGGGAATACCAAGGAGGTAGATCAGATCAGTCCTTTTTCAAATTTTATTCCTAAATGGGCTCTACTTTGATATTGAGGAGGGCAGAATTTTGTCTCCTGGAAAACTAGGTTCATGCAGCCTAGTTTTTTAGTCGTATATCAGAAAGCAATAACCATGTACTCAAAATGTATTATAAATAATGTAAAAAAATATTATATGTTATTCAAACATAATTGTATTGGGTAATAACTTCCTCTTTCATGGTGATTTACTTACTGGCATTCAGATACCACATACTTCCACCTCCTTTTTCTGATAGTGTCACTATGTATTTGGGAATTTGTTCCTTGTGAATCTCCTTAACAAATTTGATTTAGGAAACTCAGAGCAGACTAGGGGTGAGGTTTTGGCCTATACTAAGGAAAGTTTCCATGCAGAAACATCTTAAAGCACTGTGAGACTAAATAATTCTGAGAAGATATCCTTAGAGAACTTTGTATGGCATCCTGGAAGGCCACCTCAAAGTATTGTCAGCTTGAGAAGGTATTAGGTACTATGACATTTGTATTAATAGACTTTGCAGGGTCCATGTGAGCAATCTGTTCTTCCAGTGGCATCCTGGCAATATAGCTTCTGGAACTGGGCCATTATAGACATGAAAAAATCTAGTGTTTTTTTTCTCCCCAGTTCACACAACTTGAACTGTTTCAATTTGACGGTCTGGTAGGCATTAATATTTTAATATCCACTGTTTATAGCATTATAAACTCCACATGATATGTGGAGTTTTTAGTATAACTAAAAATATTCAAAACAATTAGAATTGTTTGCAGTAATATAAAAATGTTGGTTTTTTTTTAATCTGACATTTATTAATGATTAGAAGTTTTGTCAAATGACTACAAAGAACAGTGCAATCTGAATATCTGTTTTGCTGAGGAACCCACTCCACAGAAAGTCCATTTCCTTAAAATTAGAAAAGTTGCAATATGTCATTTTCAATGAAAACTGAAAGTCTCTGTTCTTTCATAATGAATCTTTTTCAAAACAGTCTATTTAATAAATGTCTCTGAAGTTGTTTTTAATTTCTCTCTAGTCACAAAACGATTCTGTGTATAACATGAGTCATGCAAAACAGTTACCAGAGTTACCGCCCCTACCTGCTTCTGCTTCAGCTGCACCTTCAGAATTGTATCAGGTACGTGCTCTCTCCCCTTCTGTCATGGTATACATTAAATTGCATGTGCTAGCATGATTTTAGGCATCATATATTACCAAGCCTCAGGCAGATGAAGTAAGGATAGGAAGAACTATTTCAATTACTCAGTTAAAGTACTAAGCAGATAGTCAGGTACTTCATTAGGGCTGCTCTTCTTTAGAAAAGTGTTGTTACAACTTCTGTTATGATTTGGATGTTAAACCTTGGCAGTTTAAATCTGTTCTTTAAATTATTTGC